TTCGGCCATACCGGTCATTCCCTCACTTGGACCGAACACGGGTGTCTTCACATCCGCACCGGTCGGACATCCTACTGTCATGCTGCCTGCGAACTCTGTCAAAGAACCGGCAAAGTTCACAGGTGTTGGTTTTAAAATATGGCAGCAAAGGATGTTGTTTTGGCTGACCACCCTCAACCTTGCGAGGTACTTGAGGGAGGATCCCCCTGTTGTGGGGGAGAACGCGGATGAGCCAACAGTTCAGGTTAAAGAGGCATGGATAGCGAATAACTATACGTGCCTTAACCTTATCCTGAATTGCTTGAGCGATGCCTTATATGCTGTTTATAGCAGGGCTGCATCCGAAAAGGAGTTGTGGACTACACTGTCCAACAAATACCAGGCCGAAGACGCCGGTGCGAAGAAATTCGTTGTCGGTAAGGTCTTGGATTTTAAGATGGTGGATTCCAAACCCGTGGTCAGTCAAGCTGAAGGATTGATTCTCATTTTTAATGAGTGCACTGACGAGGGAACGGGAGTCAGTGAGGCATTCCAAGTGGCGGCGATTATTCATGTTCTCCCGCTTGCTTGAGATGAGTTCCGAAGCTATCTCAAGCTCAAACGGAAAGAAATGACTTTAGAACAGTTGCTTGTTCGTCTCCTGATCCGTGAAGAGGGCCTCACTCGCGAGAAGAAAGTAGCTGTTGCTAAGGCCAATGTGGTGGAGCATCCATCCAAAGAGGGTTCTTCCAAAGGGCCCAAGCCGAATAAGGACAAGAAGAAGATTGGTCCTAAAGGAGGCGTCGCGAAGCCCAAGTTCGCGGGAAAATGCTACAACTGTGGCATTTCGGGCCACCGTTCTTTAGAGTGCCGCAAGAAGCCTCAGAAGAAGAAGCAGAAGAAGGAAGAAGCTCTCTGCTCGGAGCTAGATGCCATGGACCTTTGTTCTGTCGTGACAGAGGTCAACCTGGTCGGGTCTAACCCGAAAGAGTGGTGGGTTGACACCGGAGCCACTCGTCATATCTGCTCCAATCGGGCCATGCTCTTTGACTTTAAGGAGACTTCTGGCGACAAGGTGTGGATGGGAAACTCCGCCCAATCCGAGGTTCAAGGCGTGGGCAAAGTTAAGCTCAAGATGACATCTGGCAAGGAGCTCACGCTGAATGATGTGTTGTATGTGCCAGACATACGAAAGAACTTGGTGTCAGGCTCACTATTGAACAAACATGGATTCCGCATGGTGTTCAAGTCTGCTAAGCTGATCTTGAGCAAAAAGGGAATATTCATAGGCAAAGGTTATATTTCTGATGGGCTTTTTAAGCTTAATGTACTCACTGTTGTTGAGAAAATTAATAAAACTCCTGTTGCCTATGTTTGTGAGTCCTCCAATGTGTGGCATGGAAGACTAGGACATGTTAATTATGCATCTCTTTGGAAATTAATTAACATGGAATATATCCCTAAGTTTGACATCGACCAATCCCACAAATGTGAGACGTGTGTCGAAGCAAAGTCAACGCGAAGTTCGTTTCAAACAATTGAGCGAACCACTCAGCCACTAGATTTAATTCACACGGATCTGTGTGATTTCATATCAACGCCTTCAAGAGGTGGTAACAAATATGTTATCACTTTTGTCGATGATAGCACGAAGTATTGCTATATTTATTTACTTAAAAGTAAAGATGAGGCGTTGGACACTTTCATTCGGTATAATAATGAAGTAGAAAATCAACTCAATCGCTAAATTAAAAGGAGTGATAGGGGCGGGGAGTACGAAGCTCCATTCGCCGATTTGTGTGCACAACATGGAATTGTGCATCAGGTAACTCCGCCATAAACACCTCAATCAAACGGTGTGGCGGAACGGAAAAATCGCACTCTCAAAGATATGATGAATGCGATGTTGCTTAGTTCGGGGCTACCCCAAAATATGTGGGGGGAGGCTATTTTATCTAGCAACTATTTGTTAAATAAAATACCCCGAAAGAAACTCGATAAGACTCCTTACGAGTTGTGGTATAATAGGAAACCTTCCTATAAATACCTGAAAGTGTGGGGGTGCCTTGCAAANAAGTCAAAAGATAATCTGGCGGATCCGCTAACCAAAGGGTTAACAAATGAGTTGCATGAGAAGTTGGTGGCAGGAATGGGTTTGAAGCCCTTGTGCTAGGACAGTCCTATGAAGGAAAACCCAACCTGGCTGGTACCCAGGTTCAATGGGACAACCTACTTGTAGGATAAAGCGAGGTCACTGTGGGGGCGGTACCGGAACCTTCGGTCAGTCCCTTCTGTTCTTGCTGAAGACAGTGACTCCCGGAAATGATGAGGTTAGCATATAAATATGCTTTAATGATTCTTAACCAATAGACACGGTGGTCTAAGGGGAGTAATCGGGATACTCTTAAAGAATCACCTATGTAAGAGTGAAGTGTGGTCGCTTCAAACGGAGGATCTTAGGCTTAATCCTCTAAACACTCTCGCAGAACCAGGCGCGTGTCCCACGACCAAAATGGGAACAACCATGAGAACAGAACGGCGTTTGGTTGGAATCTGTGTATTGTATACTATCGTTTACACAAGCGGTAATACAGTTCAAAGACATCGCGTTCTACTGAACAGCCAGTAAAGAAGGTATACTTTACAAGGGACATGTTCAAAAGTGGAGACACTTACATGTTCTTTGCAGTTTTTTAACCGTGGGATGTTGTCGACCCCAAATCAATTTTTCATTCATGTGGGGGATTGTTGGAATTTTTGGCATTTTTAATTGGCATTAAATGGACCAATTTGGGTATATTTGTCAATAGGTCCACTAACGGTTTTAACCGTTAATTAATGGACGCGTGTTCTCTTAAATGAGATAAATGTTTTGCCAATTTATACGCCAAAAATGGTAGAGGGTGAATGAGAAATTGATTCTCAGAGTTAACCCGTTAATAAAAGAATATGGTGAGGATTGCAATTTTTGCAATTTTACTGAACCAATCTTCTTTTATTAATTTTACGTGTTGTTTAAAATTAGTCCATTTTTACGGAGTTAACTGGCCATTAATCTCCAATTATACGGGACAAATTTTAAACGGAGCGTAACGTAACGGACGTGTTAATGGCTAATTAATCACCATTAACACACCACAAATGCCATGATTATATTTAAGGGTTTAATGGTGTAGGAGTTACACATTTTAAACACCTTAGTTATAAAATCAAAGAGCTCCTCTCCATTTTTTTGTGTGCCTTGCGTGAGGAAGAGAGAAAGAAAAGAGAAAACACTTTATTATTTTCTTTTAGGGAGAGCTCTTGATTTTCTGGCCAATTTTTCCGGACATTCCCTTTAAAGGTTTTTGTTGCCAACATTCCTACGTTGTTCTTGTTCGTTGGTGTGTGGTTGGTCCGTACAATCTCCACACACGATAGCGGTTTTATCCTGGGAGGAGAGTGCCCACGTTTTCCGGTACGGTAGGCGGGCACTACTACCTTAAGGATAGCTCCGGCGGCTCCGCTGTCCTTCCACGGTGTTGTGTTTTTGCAGGTTCAGTTCATAAAGACCTCGCTGCATTCTGTCCTAGTGCATAATGTCCTCGCAGCCCAGTGCATAATGTCCTCGCAGCCCTGTGCATAACGTCCTTGTATTGCTGTCCAGTGCTTAAAGACCTCGCTGCCCAGTGCTTAAAGACCTCGCTGTCCAGTGCTTAAAGACCTCGCTTTCCAGTGCTTAACGTTCTCACTGTCCAGTCCTTAATGTCCTCGTACAACAAGGCCGTTTGAAGATATAGCAATTCTTCTCAACTTTGTTTATTTTGTAATATTCTGAATAAATTATAAATTCAGAATTTTATTTATTTTTTATTTTCCGGGGCCGTTCATCTTCCCCGTCCGTTGTAATCCGTACGAGAATTGTAACACCTCTAACACTCACCAAACCAGTGCCTTGTCATACCCCATTCTAGCGGGTAAATTTCATAAATGGTACTTCAATTTTCACGAAAATTTTGATTCGTTACCTAAACTTCAAAACCTTTCAAAAAATTCATGAACTCTGAAAATCTTTCACGAATGGTACCTAAAGCCGGTTTTCAGGTAACTAGCAGGTTATTTGGGCCAAATCTTAATTTTTTATATTTCATAATTTTTAAATTGACCCGTTTCTTTTTCTTCTTTTCCCTCCCCACCCCTTCTTTGTCTTCTTCTTCTTTCACCTCTTTTCTTCTTCTTCTTCTTTCACCCCCTTTTATTCTTCTTCTTCAAAGCTCCCCTCACCCCACCCCTACCCCCTCCCAGCCCCCATCCTGCCCCCCTTCCTTTCCTCTTTTTTTTTCCAGCATCCCCGTCACTTTCTTCTTGAGCTCCCTCTTTTTGCCTTTCCTTTTTTCACATTTTTTTTTTGTTTTTTTTCTTTTTTGTTTTTTTCGATTTCATTTGTTTGTTTTTTTGTTAAAATTTTTGTTTGTTTTTTTATCTTTTTTTGCTGATACTTTTATATTATTTTTTTGTTTGTTTACGAGTTTTTTGTGAACTTTTTTTGCATTTTTTTTATCTATTCTCTTAAGAAGTGTTTTATTTTATTGTTTGTTTTACTTTTTTATTTTTTTGATATTGTGTTGTCTTATTTTTTTGTTTCTTTATCCTTTTTTGTTTGTTATTTTTTTATATTTAATTTTTTGAAACAAATAAATTGAAACAAAAAAGAGGGAGTTCCCTCACCCTCTGCCAGCCCCTGGCAATTTTGTTTCAATTTATTTGTTTTTTTGTTGTTTGTGTTTTTACATTTTTGTTTGAATTTTCGTTTCAATATTTACAACTTTTTTTATGTTTTTTTGTTTCCGATTTTTTCGATCTTATTGGTTTTTTTGTTGTTTGTCATTTTTATCTTTTTCTTGATATTTTTAAATTGTTTGTTTGTTTGTTTAGAATTTTTTTTGTGAATTTTTTTTTGTAAGTTTTTTAAATCTATTCTTTTAAGAACTGTCTTATTTCTTTTGTTTAATTTGTTTTACTTTTTTATTTTTTTGATACTGTTTTATCTTATTTTTGTTTGTTTTTTTATCATTTTTTGTTTTTTATTTTTATGCTATATTTTATTTTTTCCATCAAACGAAGTAAAAAAACTAATTGACCTTTGGATTCATTTTTTTGTGGGTTGTTCTCTTTTTATGTTGCATTTACTCTTAGTTTGACTTATTTTATTAATTAATTTGTTTTATTTTATTGATCATTTTAGTTAAACAAAAAAATCGTACCATACGTCTTCTTTTTTTTTGTTTTATTTGATATTTTTTTGTTAACTTTTTTTGTTTGTTTTCAAATAAAACAAACAAAAACATTAAACGTATGGTACGCTATTTTTTGTTTAACTAAAATGTTCAATAAAATAAAACTCATCAATTAATAAATAAAATAAGTCAAACTAAGAATAAGTGAACCATAAAAATATATTTTATTTTTTCATTTTTATGAAAAAATAAAATATAAAAAAATAACAAACAAAAAAGATAAAGAAACAAAAAAATAAGACAAAACAATATCAAAAAATAAAAAAGTAATACAAACAATAAAATAAAACACTTCTTAAGAGAATAGATAAAAAAACTTACAAAAAAAAGTTCACAAAAAACTCGTAAACAAACAAACAAATAATATAAAAGTATCAAGAAAAAAGGATAAAAAAACAAACAAAAAATTTTAACAAAAAACAAACAAATAAGATCGAAAAAAACAAAAAAAAACAAAAAAATGTTCAAAGGAAAGACAAAAAGAGGGAGCTCAAGAAGGAAGTGAGGGGAGATGCTAGAAAAAAAGATGAAAGGAAGGGGCAGGATGGGGGACTGGGAAGGGGTAGGGGTGGGGTGAGGGGAGCTTTGAAGAAGAAGAATAAAAGGGGGTGAAAGAAGAAAAAGAAGAAGAAAAGGGGTGAAAGAAGATGAAGACAAAGAAGGGGTGAAAGAAGAAGAAGACAAAGAAGAAAAAGAAATGGGGTCAATTTAAAAATTATAAAATATAAAAAATTAAGATTTGGCCGAAATTACTTGCTGATTACCTGAAAACCGGCTTCAGGTACCATTCGTGAAAGGTTTTTAAAATTCAGGAATTTTTTTGAAAGGTTTTGAAGTTTAGGTACTGAATCAAAATTTTCGTGAAAATTAAGATAGCATTTTTGAAATTTACCCCATTCTAGCAAGTCTGCGACTTTATTTTGATCTCTTAGGATGTGAGATTATTCTGATCCCTTAGGATGTAACAGATGGTGACATCCTAATCTCTCCCATCCAACTCTGACACGCCTCAACCACGTGGTGTACCAAACCTCTTGTGGCGCCTCTAGCCCTCTACCATGAATCCATTCAACACACTCGAACAAATCACATTTCGCAAACCTTTCTCCCAAGCCTAATTAAAGCCCTGCCACACTGCCCGTGCTTCGGCAAATGTTGAAGGGAAAAGACACCAATTTGATTTAAAAGTGGTATACATAATCCAACCATGAGTTAACCTTTTTTAAAAACCTGAATGCATCCTTCAATGGCAGCAAATTTTAAGAAATCAAACAACGTATACCCAAAAAGAAAAAGAACTGTTTGAACAAGACAATTACACAATAGGAATACAAAATGCCGGCTGTGAAACACTCCAGTATCCCAACACAATATGTATCTTATCAACTATGATACTAGCAACAAATGCCCCATTAAGTTGGCAGCAATGGGAAAGGGCATACTCTTCGTGTATGCGTGATCTCGTGCCGACTTGTGTGTCAGATGAAAAATAAAATAGAAAAGAGACATAAGGCCTACTGCAGACCCTCCCCGTCCTGAAAGCTCAAATTCAATGTTCGCAACTTAAAACCTGAGCCTAGGAGAGTCTCAACAAAACCTGAGGCCACCCCTGTTGCTTGCATTGTTGTTTGCTTTGTCAGCTACAAAGGAAAAGAAAATTTCAAGATGTTAACCATGAAGAGAAATCATTCATTGGAGTTAGTCTTTCGGAGGGAATCGACCAAATGCTACTTGTACTACTCCTTGAGAGATGTTTTTGCACAATTTTACCAAACAATGCTACTATGGCTCTTTGAGAGCACCTCTAAAGGAACCAAGTGTATTACAGAACATAGCCTTAGTCCAGTGACAAAGCCACGAAAGTGAAAAAATAGCATGTGCCCCATAATGAGGATCATAATTTCACTAATGTGGATCATTTACTTTGTGAAATGGTTTGATCGTGTGAATAGTGCAATAGGAACTTTATGGGATGGAGGGAGTATATGTTTAACAGATGCAAGAAACAGCAAAAGTATGAAAACTCACCTCCAGACTTGCCATGCCCTCGAAAACATGAACTTCGAGATCTGCTATACCTTCTTTTTCCTGCAGATGTTTTAAGAACGGAAAAGATGGTATTGCAAATGAAATGGCATTTACTACCGCAATGTGTTGCTAATTAATAATAAGGGTAAAGGTGAAAGTAGTGCAAGCAGTTTTTGCACTAGCAATTCTTAAGCTGAGACAAGAGTCACTAAATACTGTTAATAGTTCTTAGCTACTTGAGTTCATCCACATTACATTACAGTTCTGAACATTTATGCACGCATATATTCGCCGACAAAGTGTCTTCTAACTAAAGTCTAAACACATGAAAATAAATTCACTTTGTACCTCTAAAGCCTTGGTCACCTTAGGAATGTCTGCTTCTACCATGGTTCCTTCGGCCTGCGAATCAAAAAACATTTAAAACTTACAATCGAAGCACTCTCAAACAAGGAGGAAAAAATTTCAGAGAAAATACGCGGAAAAACATGGTGAGGACGTCAGACGGAGCCACAGAAACAGAAACCGGCGGCGGCGAAGATGCATCCTCCACCGTAACAACGCCTTCACCCTCACCCACTGGAACAAAGGAACCCTCCTCCGCTAAGGACTTTATCCTCTTTGTCCTCGAAACCCTATTCAACGCCAACGGGCGTGGAGAATACAAATTGGTGGCAACACGGCAATGAGTCTGAAATCGGAGACAGCGGAGTGGATGAAGCTGGCTCGAATCGTTCGGAGAAGGGAGGAGAAAACAAGAAGAGAAGATGGTTGCCATCTCTGTTCTCTTAGTGATTTTATCACCAGCGATAGATGGTCGGATTGGAAAGCAGGTCATCCGAAATGGACTAATTGAATTAGTTTTCTTATTTTCCCATTACTACAAAAGTATACAAAATCTCAAAAATAAAGCCTCATTTTGAATAATATACAAAATCTTATTTTTTTATAGAAAAAACTAGTATCACACCCGGTGCGTTGCACGGTTTGTATTAACGTTATAAATTTATATTGGTATTATTAAAAAAATAAATAACTACACCATATAATGAAATATAATGTTTTTCAATTGGATAATACATAAATTATCTCCACCGCATCTTCCTATTCTGAAAAGAAGGGGAAACATGTACCCATCGTTTTCCCGTCCAAGTGACTTTTTAAATACGGTTTAAGATATTAAAATGGCGAGTGTTTTAAAAAAGAATTAAAAAGAATGAATGATTGAATTTTGATATTATTATTTTTATTAAAAATCAAAGGAGGTTAGATTTATTTTTCTTGAAACGCCGATTTCATAACCTTTTAAAGCATAGAAATAAAAAGAGGAAAGATTTAAAAAAGGAGGAATGCTTGAATTTTGTTAATAACTTTAATGCGTAGGCAATTAACATGGTGCAAATAAAATACATAAGATTAAAATTTTAAAACTTTCATTATTAAGCACAAAAATACTCACGGTTTTAAAATTCTTGCAATATTTTTTTATTTTCCGCCACACTAAAAAAATTAGTTACGCGTATAATAAAGAAAAAAAGTTTCAAGAAGTTAATTTTTTTAACATCGCCCAATACTCGAAAATAAACTTGGCAAAAAATGACGCGACCTATTTTTGACCCGAGATGCGACCCGAAAATACTGGGTTTTGAACAAAGGTTTTACTGACCGAACCCGAAGTTGACTGAACCCAAAATGACCCGCTAAAAATGGGTCAAACTCGACCGAACCCGAACCCGACCAGACTGACCTGCTAATCTAAGATTTTTTTTAGAATCATGCATTTTAATATGAAATATAGTGTTATAAAAATAAGATTATAATTATATTTCTTTGCTTACTACTCATTTTTTTTGTATAGATTTATACCATCATAACAAATTTTAATGATGTCGCATAATTATCTTACATTTTTTTCAAAATGTCTACATATTTAATTTTTTTATTCGTAATATTGACACTAAGTCATAGAAATTATTTAAAATTTTAAAAACTTAATAAAACTCATAACCCGTTAGGTCAACCTGAACCCTATGACACTGGGTCATGAACTTGTAGTTATCAACCCGAACCCGAACTTATCCGAGCCCGAAGTAACCTGAACCCAAGGTGACCAAACTCGAATCCGACCTGACCGACCGGTTTTCCAGGTTTACTCGATATATCAGACAAATAAAAAATGATTCGAGAAGGGGCCTTTTCATTTAACATGCTAATAACTTCCAAAATTATATGATTTCTTTTTTTGGTAATTCTTTCTTTTCTTAATATGTTAAATATCTTTTTTCATGCATAAAAAATTCCCTTCAATTTTCGGGCATTAAGTATGTACAGATTTTATAAAGTAAATTTCTGTTTTTAAATAGTTAAAACCGTATCATTTATATACACAATGCTTTCCTTTTATAAAATCATACGGAGTATGATTTTTATTTATATACACCGCATTAAATTACACATAAATCTTATAAGGTATTTTCCTTTTATAGAATGAAATAAAGTCATATTTGAATGTTGTTTAATTATAATTACCGTAGATTAAAAATTTAGATCAAAATCAATGGTCTATAAACGATAGCGTTTGGGCGGGAAAGAGCATGGGACATAATTCCCCTGCTTTTAAGAATAGGGTGATTATTTATAAATGGATATTGAAATGAAAAGTATGAATTGAATATTCCAAAACTATATAAAAAATTGTTGAAAAAGAGATGTGGCAATAATATTTTATTTAATAAAATAAAAAATAAAAAAAAGTTATTGAAAGTTCAAAATAGTAACTGTGTCGGTATTTATGGGTGAGGGGGAGTAATTTTTTTCAATTATTGTTTAATTATAGTTCTTAAAAGTAGTAATTTACATTTGGGTGGTGATAGTCATACACCACCAAAATATTAAATTCACCTCATAAATTATACCATACAGCCGATTGTACAGTTCTTCCCGTACAACCGGCTTAAAATTTATGTGCAATCTGATGTGCGGTTTGGAGAGGAAAAGTAGACCCAACTTGATTTTGTTGTGATATCCTAAGGAGGTCGCCCGATTTGAGGAGAAGAACAGAGATCGAAACCTTCTTGGGTCGATCCGGCGAGATCAAGGAAGCACGGCTGCGGAAATGATGATGAAGATGTCGATATCGAGGAAGCATGGTGAGATCAATGAAGATGGATGATGAAGGCGACTCAGGAAAGCCTAACTGCGGTCTACGGTGATAAAGATGTCTCGTCCATTCAGCAATAAAGAAATGTTATGAAAATGATGATGGTAAGATTAATTAGAGTATACTAGTATCACACCCGTGCGTTGCACGGGTCATTTTTATGTTATTAAATTCAAATCATTTTTCAATGATAAAAAATGAGATGCAATAGAATATAGACCGTATTTATAGTATATAATTCTAATTTTTTTCCGAAACTATGTGTATAATTATTCTTACTATAATTATATTTTACTATAAGCATATACAATTATTTTCAAAACTGTGTGTATAATTATTCTTACTATAATTATACGGAGTATTATATTACCTACTCATAGGGGCGGATCTACATGTATGACTACGAGGGCAGTCGCCCCCAATCAATTTTTTTACTCTTTAATATACAGTATTAAAATATTTTTTTGTAGAGAATTAAATGAACCATCTCGGTAAAAAATTAATTTGTCCCCACAGACAAAAGAAAGTATTAGTTTAAAAGTAAAATGTAATCACTTAAAAATATATACAGGTAAAATGTTGAAATATCATAATTATATTATGTTATGATCTATTTTATATTTTATTTTTCTACTTTAAAAATAATTTTTTTTATTTGAATGATTGATTGAAATTAAATTTATTTATTTTTAATCATTATCAAATGCTTTAAAAAAATCGGGAGTGCCACCCCTGAACCCCACCATACTCTTTTGTGTATTTGCTCGAGTCATATCTTTTTCTGGATCCACCATTGTGGCTACTCATGCGGTTATACAATCATTATGTTGGTTAATTATTACCTTTTTAAAATTATTTCTAGTTTTAATAATGTAATAATAACGCTTTTAAATATTTTTTGGGAAATTACCTTTCTTGCATGGAGTAATAATTCGTGCACGGGTTAAAAATGGCAGTTAATTATATAATTTTTTGATTACTACCTTTCTTGGTAGCGTGCTTAAAAATCATACCTTGGTAGCGTGCTTAAAAATCATTTTATTATTTTTATTCACAACCATACACAAACCATTTTTATATTACTATAATTTCAGACACTTACCATTTAATTTCACAATTGCTATATGTAGGTAATAATTGCACGGAGTAATAATTATTACATTTTTTGGTTATTACCTTTCTTGCTCTTAAACACACACACACACACACATAAAGGGTTTTACCATATTAATTTTATTTTTCGAAACTGTGTGTATAATTATTCTTACCATAATTATATTATACTATAATCATACACATGTTTTTTATATAACCTAGTCACATGGTAATCATATAATTATATAATTATGTTAAGAATAATCATACACACGTTTTAATAGCATTGATTGGCGTGTCTTAAAGTTTAAAAATATTTTTTATAAATAATTTTTGCCTATTTTATAAATATTTTTTATAACTTACCTTTCTTGCTAGTATAAATTTCGGACACTTAAGAAATGACAGTTAATTATTATAAATATTCACAACCATACACTAACCATTTTTATATTACTATAATTTCAAACACTTACCATTTAATTTTAGAATTGCTATATGTAATGGTCATACTTCGTGCACGGGTTAAAAATGGACACTATAATTTCGATATTTATCATTTATATAGGTAATATTTGCACGGATTAATAATTATTATATTTTTTGCTAGTATAAATTTCGGACACTTTAAAAATGATAGTTAATTATTATAAATATAATATAATAATTATACTTATAAAACGTAAATTTTATATTACTATAATTTCGGATACTTACCATCTTAACTTCACATTAACATATGTAATGGCCATACTTTTTGGGCGGGAAAATGCAATATTGATTCCATGTCTTTTTAAATAAAGTATGGATTTTCCGGATGTGAAGGGAATGAACTGTAGGTTACTTGAGAATGAGCAGTGCGTTATTTGCAAATGAGCACTACTGTGTTTCAGAATGAACACTAAGTTATTCATAATTGAATATTATAATTGTTTTGAACAAATGTGTGAAAATGAGTACTCCGTTGATTCAGAATGAGTACTATGTTATTTCAGAGTGAGTTCTATGTTATTTCAAAATGAATAATATGTTTTATGCGAGAATGAGTAGTACTTTGTTTCAAAATGAGTACTATCTGCACTTTACATATGGTACAGTTGACTAAACCATATACAAACTCAATTCACCTCACATACTAATCTCACCCTACTACTTTCTAATCTATTTCAACCTTGTGCTTCACACAAATTTATATATATTATAAGTTCTTTACTCCATAACACAATGATAAAATATTATTCTAAATTAAAATGTTTAGTTTTTTATTTCATTTTATAATATATATTAGTATGCATTATCTAAATCCTTTTAATCGTAAGATAGATTTTTTTTTCAAAATAAAAGTTGTAGTGTTAATAATGATGCACATTTATTAAATTTTAAACAAAACTTTGTCTTTAAAAAGAAATAAAAAAGAATATCGTGTTTAATTTTAAATTTTATATAAAGCTTTATATATTTTTAAAAATAATAATAAGGCTTACATAATCTACTTTTTAAAATAATAATGTGTATTAAAAAAATTGGAATAGAAAAATACATATTGGTATAATACTTAGTAATGGAAATTTTATACAAAATTATTGGTCATCAAATTTAACAATAATAAAAGTTATTTTATTTTAATCAATCAATAATTAAAATGATAGCTTCAAAATATTTTAAAGTTAATTTTAAAACGCATATAATTTTTTTGAAAAGTTACGTAATAAGATAAGCGGATGATAATTATAAAACTATATTTATAATGTTTTTTTAATTTAAAAAAGAGTAAATATAATTTTTTTGAATAATAACGTAACTACACATCATGGAGTGTATTTAGTTGACGCGGTGTATCTAACGCCCCGAAAATAGGTCTATCAAAATTAATTAATTGATACTACCTCCGTCCCACTGTCTTTGTCCACTTTTGACTTTTGGAACTGTTCATCTAAGCACTTTGACTCATCAAATTCTCTCAATGTGTAAGCCTAAATATAGTCACGTGTGATCTTGTTTGATTTGTCTTAACATATAGATTATTAATATATAATTTCTATAATTTTTAATATACAAATTACAAGATAAAATGAATTAAAGAAGTGCATTGGATGGTGTGCCAAAAGCTAAATGGACAAAGACAGTGGGACGGAGGGAGTAATTAATTAATCACTGAAAAGATTTTGTTATGACGTATGAATTGAAATAACCTCCAAATTTCCAACTATGCCTATCGCGAACCTTATTACAAAGGCTAGTGAAGAACTTTTCAATCGAGAAATGAATTTTGTTGACCAATGACGTACAAATAAGACTCGTGAATGAACGAACTCAAGTATGCTTCAAAATACCATGCTATACTTTACAAAGGAACTTTAATTATTGATGATTGAATCCAAAAAGGAATCTCCAAAAGGATCGTTGGATAGCTTTGTTAATCTTTCGAAGATAGAACGAGTATGATGACATCAGGTGTTCGAGAATACATATCCGTGTGGATAACGATGTAATCGTGATTTAACTAAATGAACATGACACGGTCATGATTGTCGTAAATACAACGAGATGTTGATTGTGGAACCTTAAAAGAATTTCGAGGATGAAATTCCTTTTAAGGGGGAAAGAAATGTAACGCCCTAAAACATACCCTAAAATTATTATTGAATTATTATTTAATTAATCTAATTTTTTTTTATTAAAATAAATTATTATTGGGCTTTGGGCCGAAATGAAATGTGTTTTGATATCCAATATCACAATCTGGATAAATCTCATATAGATAAATCCAATATGTTTACTATTTGTGTGATCTTGACGGGGAACCAGAGTACAGATTCAAAACAAGAAAACATAAAGAATTTGTTTATGATGTGAACTTTGAAATGATTTATTAAAATAAATCATGAAAATAAATAATATGAATTAAAAATGAGAACCTTTTTTAGTAAAGGTCAATTAAACTTGATGGTGTAAATTATCGACCGGTGTATCGTTTTTAGCCGGGAAAAAACGATAAACTAGTCTAAAAAATACACCAAAACATAAACACGAGAATTTCGATGTGGAAACCTAAATCGGGAAAAACCACGGGCCTTTTTTGGCGGGACCTTACCAACGGGGGATTTTTATTAATATCGGGGGTTGTACACGGTACAAGAATTGGGCTCGGAAGCCATTAATGGAGAAAGTGTGAAGCTTCAAACTCATTGAAAGAATAAATTACAAGAATATTCTAGAGAGAGAGAGAGAGGAATTGGGCAGGGAGAAGGGATGAATTGGCCTCTCAACATTAAGGGAAACCCTCCCTTTTATAGGAGAGAGTGGGAGCATCTACGGAGGAATATTCTCTTATTCATCCATTTTATTAAACATGCCCGGTTTGATTGTTCTTCGTAAATAATTAGAAAATGTGGGCCGAGCCACGTATTATTTCCCATCAAGAAGTCCTCCACTTTTTTAAGTTGTGATTATCATCAACTTAAAAAAGTAAATAAGTCCTCCGAGTGCTATCTTCAGTTTCCGTACTTTGGATTCTAGACCGGTTGATATCGCTAGTCCTCCGAGTCTTCATTAATCCTCTAATTTCTTGAATCAGATATTTTTCCTGCAAAAAATAATATGTACAACATTTTTTTGACCGGCCTATGCCGTGTCCAAAAAAAATTATTATCTTTACCGAGGAGCTCGGTGTTAGGTGATTAAAATTCGCGCGAATAATTATCGTAACGAGAGCGATGTTAGTTTGATAAAGCAACGATGCTTCGGATAGTTATATGACACCGGAGTTAGTACGATGAAGCAGCGATGCTTCAAGTAGTTATTTCATCGAGATCAATGTTAGTACGAATAAGTATCCGATGCAGTAGCTCTGTTGAAGATCAGTGTTAGCCCGGCTGACTGATGTAAATATTTTCATGTCTCATGGAGACCATCTTCGATCATAGTGCCTCAGATTGAGGGCTTAAATGAATCGGGCATCCCCGATATGAGCTCGGCTCACTTTTTTGCTAAAACCGATGTGCAACCGGTGTACCCAATTCGATTGGGCTCAGGCTTATTTGAAAATATGCGCAAGACCGGTGTGAGACCATTGTACCAGTTCGACTGGGTCACATATTTTCTTTATTATACTGAGCAAGACCAGTGTAGTAACCAGCGTGCCAGGCCGGGCGTGTGTCTCAGTCTTCCTATAAGATTATGCTGCTGGCCGGGCGAGATCAACATTGGAGAATTAACTATGTCGGATGGTTTCGAGCCCTCTCCAAGGCCCAAAATGCACCCTTCTTCCAAGGCCCCCTCTTCCGGGTGATTAAGTCTTTTAATGGCCCTTTGATATCTACCATCGAAGGAAGGCCTTAGCTCACTCCCCCGTTCAAGTCTTCCCTGAGAAGGGGGAATCCGAACTGGTCGGAATAGGATGCATCAAGGTGGACGATCCTCTTCTATTTCTTTTAATGGGCATCTTTTAGTCCCCAATCAGTTTGACGGTTTCGACTGAATCCCCGATACCGGTCAAACCTCCTGGGCCCGTGTAAGTACGGTTCGAACCTTCTTCCAGGTCCAGCCTTCTTGCAAGCATACCCCTCTTCCTGGGCCCCTCTTCCGGGTTTTATTATTTTTTCTATTATACTGAGCAAGACCGGTGTAGTAACCAGCGTGCCAGGTCCGGGCCTGTGTCTCAGTCTTTCTTCTAACATTTGTAGAAGATCGTTGCATGAGTGATATACCGCCATCGACTAGGTACCATTCTTTAATAGTACCACAAATGTTTGAGGCAATTAAATGAAGCAGTCCCACTTAAATCAGAATATCTTCTGAAATTTGCTCCTCCATATTTTAATTTCCATTGTGTGAGAGTTGGCCGCATGTGGTTTGGATTGATTTGTACTCCGTGTAGTTGTCTAGGGCCCATCATCATGTGGCTTCCATCTATGAATGGATAACATATCTTTATGTACTCCGTATCTCGTATAGGTATTTGCAAGTGGACCCATATACTCTCTCTGTCCACCATAGATCTTCCGAGTCACTATTCACAGGGTTAAACTTTACTCACTTTGTTTACTCAATTTTACTAGTCATTTCATAACATAATATATTCTTGTCACCTCTAGTTTTGTAGAACTTTTCATGTAGTTTATTACTATATAAATTTTATTTTAAAATTTTACTCCTATAATCAATTAAATTCAATTGAAAATAAAATGGGTCAAGCTTCGTAACGCGTAATGGGAAGATCATACATAGACGGAGGGAGTAATTGACAAGCATAATCCTTCACATGCTCCATTGTCTATTTTTCTTGACTTTTTTTAGACTTCTTTTTGGTAGTGGATTCCAGTTTGTATTTATTGGCTAAGGGGAGGGCCCCTTAAGAAAAAGTACTCCCTCCCTCCTATAATGATCTTCCCGGTTCGCAAAACGAAGAAAAATCTCAAGTTTTTTCAATCTATTTTATTTAAATATTGGTATAGAAATAAAAAATAAAACATACATATTTAAAAATTACACCAAAAGTTCAACAAAACAAGTGGTGACAAGAATATTTTATTTTATCATATAGGCCATGAAAAAACACAAATAAATATAAATTCCCGTGAAGTTGGAATAGTGCTCTGGGAAGATCATCACAGGGAACAGGGAGTAATTAACTTTTCCAAGACGAGCAAAGGAGAACTCGGCGGGCCCTTGAGTTCCTTCAGCACACTCCTTCACCGAACTACAACTGGACGACGCCGACGACAGAGACGCCGACGAGCTCCCCACCGTCCTTAGGAGCCCCTTCTTCATCATCTTTGTCTCGAACCCGAATCCGCAGTTGTTCACCTCTTTCCCGACGGTCTGCGAGCAATAATCCCCCTAGCCGCCGCCTTTTTCCCCGAATTTGAATATGTACAGCGCGTAGCCATCGTCCTCGAACAGCCGGCTATGGACGTCCCAGGAGACGTGGATCGAGAACTCGTCCACTCTGATTCTCCAGTTGCCTCTGAATTTCCACCTCAAATGCTTGATTTGGAGAACCCTTTTGTCGTCCACGTAGAAACACAGTCTCGGGTCGTCTCCGGAGATCCAGCTCTCTATGCATATGCTCCGGTCCTTGCCGCCGACGGTGGCCTCGGTGACATATACTCTACTCTCGTACACACGTTCTCTTTCCAGCATCATTACTTGGCTGACGTTGGTCCCCATAATTTGTGCCCTAGTTTTGGAGTAGGCTTCTCTTTGGAGGTCTCCGACGAGGAAGACGATTTCGCCGTTGATGACATTGGCAATGTAGAATCCAGGTTCGGGTCTTAACATGGATTTCGCTCTCGACAGTTCCAAGAAGATGTGGGCATTCTCAATTTTTCTGCCGCTGCCGATTTGAAGCCTTTTTTATCCTGCTTTTTCTAGAAGACGAACGGCTTGATGTGAAGGTGGAACGTCGGGGGTTGGCGGCCAACGGTTTACCAAACATGGTGTCTTCCTCCGCCGATAGAGAAGTAAGCGCTGTCGGAATCGCTGCCCCGCTTGGATCATGGGTTGAACTCGTCGGCTACAGGTAACCCTCGCCCATTTTGAAGAGGGCAAAAAGGTTCTGCTGCGAGTAAGAAATTGTGCTGCCAGCATAGTGGCAAAGACACCACCTTTTTCTTCTTTTTGCAAGACTCCAGAACCAAAACACATGTTCTGTGTTCCAAAGGCAATAATTTAGCAATTTCTCCCTCTTTCTAGCTTCTTTCTTTTTGACACTCCAAACCCTCGTCTTCATTTTCTTTCTTTTTTCAAAGTATGACTCTTTTGGTTGTGCAAGATGGCCGAACAAAAATGGAGCTTTTGTTCGGGTCCCACGGATGGCGCCAAAATGGAGGTGTAAATTATTGACCGGTATATCGTTTTTAGCCGGGCAAAAACAATAAACAAGTCTAAAAAATACACCAAAATATAAACACTGGAATTTTGACATGGAAACCCAAATCGGGAGAAAACCACAAGCCTTTTTAGGCGGTACCTTGCCAATGGGGGATTTTTATTTATATCAGGGGTTGTACACGGTACATGAATTGGGCTTGGAAGCCATTAATGGAAGCTTGAAGCTTCTTTGAGAAATAAATTACAAGTACTCTAGAGAGAGAAAGAAAGGTGGGCAGGGGAGAGAGAGGAGAGAGGCCTCCCTTAACATTGAGGGGGAACCCTCCTTTTATAGGAGTAGCTGGAGCATCTACGGAGGAATATTCTATTATTCCTCCATTTTATTTAATAGGCTCGGTTTAACTGTTCTTCGTAAATAATTGGGAAATGTGAGCCGAGGCACGTATTATTTCTCATCAAAACCAATTTTGACTCTGTCAAAGTCAAACACCTAAAAATATGATGTTGGAAAAAAAATTACAAATAAATATAAAAATTATGTCGTTGGATAAAGTTTGACTATCTGATCGCAACGGTGCAAACGGATTTCAATTCGGAGAAAGTTGGACAAATAATTGTACCCCGCCTGGGACCAAAATTAGTCCCAATCAGAGAACGACGCCTTCTCCTCCACTCAACCTATTGCGCATCAATTCCTACACAGCATGTGTCTTCTTCCTCCTCCTCTTCCCTATAAAAAAAGAACTCATTCTTCTCATTTCACCACCAAACTAAATAAACTTAGTGTCATAATGTTCCTGAGAAGGAGGAAAGCATTCTGCAATAGTTAGTTGTCGTCGGAAGTTTCTCCAGAAAATTTCCAAAACCTTCATTAAACTTCAAGGTAAGCCCGTAGATATATCTAGTGACTAGAATGTTCGTATAGATTGTTTCTACATTCATAAACAGTAGTACTACATTATTTCAGAATGGCTACTAGTTTATTTCAGATGAACACTTATGTGGTTGCTTTTTCAAAATGCCCTAAAAACGGAAGTAATTTATCACTCTACCCTAAAACGGATTTTATTTATTGACCTACCCTTTCTATCAAAGTGAAATTACTCTCTTATCCTTCTCCCGGTCTCCCCTAAGCCGTAATCGCTACGTTATCGTTATTCTCGTTGCGGTGGCGCGCCATTTTCATCGTTTTCTATTCCAATCGATTGCATACTCTGACGCCTATCAGCTGTCGCCGCTGTTGTTAGCTGTTTCCCATTTTTTCGCTTCCTGTTTGTTCACAATTGTCCCGCTGTTCGCTGTTTTGTCCCCACTTTGCCGTCTTTTGTTTGTTTCCACTAATCGGTGAAAGACTCTTTCAACGTAGGTACACATTCATCTAATTTTACAGTAAGGATTGTATAATTAACTATCGCCGGAGAAGAGTCTACATATATCTGTTTTTTACTGTATATTTAAAAGTCGACATTATCAATGATTTCTAAAGTCGAAACATAGGGTCGACATGATGAAGTTGGTTTATTAAGTCGACATTATAATGATTTATTTTATCGTGGATTTTTTATTTTGGTTTATTAAGTCAACCGAAATAAGACGATTACATGTATAATTCCACAGTATCTGATTTAGTCGACATAATAGCTATTTGATCGACTTGTATATCTAGATTTTCTGGAGTCTATGTTGACAATTTTCCATGTAATTTCATCAATCACATTCTGAATTATACATTCTGAATAATGATTGTGTCGAAGTTCACAGTAATAAGGGAAGACCCGTAATAAGGAGATTACATCTTTAATTTCACTTTTGCAGGCAGATGGACACTCGCGCTCTTCTATCTCTGTTCATTCATTGTGGTGGTGATTGGGTTGAAAATGAGAAAAGCGAAATCCAGTTTAAACGAAACAAGCAAAGTAAGACACAAGTGATCGAGTGGGAAAGAAGTAATGAAGACTTCAATGCCCTTCTCATGTGTATTTATCGGGAATTTGGATTGCAACAAAGTAAGCATCAACTTCAGGTTTCGTACCAATCTTCTCGGTTCGGTAGGGAATTGCCACCTGTCATAATTTCCAGTGATAAGGCGTTGGGTTGTTTCCTGAGGGATAAAGATGTACATTCTACATGCTTATGTGTTGTGGTGACTGAAATCGAGGAAAGAGAGCTTGAAAATGAAATTGTCAAGCAACAACATGCAATTGATGAAAACGAAAAGGAAGATCAAAATGGCAAAAAACATGATTGTGTCTTCCGTGATGTATATTTTGATTGCAACTTAGTATTTGATAAAGGATCAGGGCATGGACATGATGGGGTTGTACTTAATGATGAACCAAATGCGAATGTGGAGACATTCCATTGCATAGGATCCAACTGCACTCCTAACTCTCCCCAACCTAATCATGAGGTTGAGGTTGAGGTTCCCAAGAGTACGCAGGAGAAAGTTGATGTGGAGGTTGAAATTAAAAATACTACACAAGAGCATGTTGGTGTAGAGGTTGAACACTACACTCGATTTCCAGATGATTTTGATTTTCCTGTCGGTGAAGTAGATGGCGAAGGTGAGTCGGATGGAACATTTGGCGACGGCTCAGACCTGTGTGTTGGGTATGAGTTTGCCTGCGAGGCTGATCTAAAGCGGAAAATGACAGAGGTAGCCATTGTTGGTTGCTTCGAAACAAAGACTAAAAAGAGTGATACAACTCGATATATTCTGCGTTGCAGGAGTGCTAACTGTAGTTGGATGATGCGTGCATTTTCCGCAAAGGACTCTCCTAGATTTATAATCAAAAAGTACAACAAGTTGCACAATTGTGCCGTTGGTGAACGAAAGCGCAATCATAGACAAACTACGTCGAGGTACGTTGGGGAGATTGTCTTGGCTACTCTAGGTGGTTCTCGGGAACACATTAAGCCAAAGACAATCATGACACTTATGCAAAATAAGAGCATGCCCATAACATATACAAAGGCTTGGCTAGGTAGGAAATTTGCAAACGAAAAGTTGTATGGGAAACCATGCGACAACTATGCGAAACTTCCTTTATATCTGCACGTGTTGAAGGAGGCAAACAATGGAAGAGTATACACTAATCTAGAGGTCGATGATGATGGTTGTTTTAAGTATGTCTTCATAGCCTTTCACGCATGTACTTCAGGTTTTAAGTTCCTCAGACAAGTAATCTCTGTTGATGGCACGTTCTGCAAAACACTTGAAAAAGGTGTTTTACTAATTGCNGGGAAACCATGCGACAACTATGCGAAACTTCCTTTATATCTGCACGTGTTGAAGGAGGCAAACAATGGAAGAGTATACACTAATCTAGAGGTCGATGATGATGGTTGTTTTAAGTATGTCTTCATAGCCTTTCACGCATGTACTTCAGGTTTTAAGTTCCTCAGACAAGTAATCTCTGTTGATGGCACGTTCTGAAAAACACTTGAAAAAGGTGTTTTACTAATTGCCACAGCACAAGATGGTGCCTTCCATCAGTATCCTCTTGCATGGGCCATTGTAGACTCTAAAAATAACGACTCCTACTCATATTTCTTCGGTCATCTTCGTCAAGTAATCGAAGATCATCAACATTTGGTCTTCATTTCAGATAGGCATCCAAGCATCGAGAATGGTTTGAGAAAACATTATACTCTGGCAGACTACGGGTACTGTCGATATCATATTCATTGTAATTTAAAAGGTCCATTAGGAAAGAAGAACAAAGATGGTTTAAAGCTATTTGATCGTCTTTCAAATGCCTACACGGTGAACACTTTTCATAGGATTTTTAAGGAATTTGAGGACAGGTATCCCATTGGAGCTAGGTACATAAGTACTATTCCGAAGGAAAGGTGGGCAAGGGCTTTTTTCAAGACAAACCGTTACAATATAATGACGACAAATGGGACAGAGAGTGTTAACAGCGTCCTACGACACACCAGAACACTACCCATCCTAGCATTGTTGAACGGAATGCAATCGAAGACTGCCGAGTGGCGGGGGAAACGGCATAGAGAGTTGAATGCTCTACAAAACTCTAGCAGTCCGCTCACTCCAGATGCAGAAGCCTACCTTCGTAGGCGGTACCCTATTGCTTTGAAGCTTTCGAGTATGCGTTTGGGCAATCATGAATTTCAAGTTCAAGGAGTTACATCGGATCATGTTGTGAACTTGCACCAAAAGACTTGCACCTGCCGCGTATTTGACCTGGACAAAATTCCTTGCGTTCATGCATTAGCATGCTTGACGGATGATATCGCGAGGGAACTGGAGATAAATGCGTACGACCTTTGTGATATTAGGTACACCAGAGGTCACGTCCACCTAGCATACGGAGAAACAATATATCCAGTATCGGCATATGAGGAGTGGTCTGCCAATGGTCTATCTCTCCAGCATGTAAAACCACCAAAAACGAAAAAGAAAAGGGGGAAGCCACAAACAAAGCGCATTCCATCAGCGGGAGAGAAGAGAAGGACTTCCGATTTGACTTGCTCTAGATGTCATAACAAGGGACATACAATACGGACTTGCAGAAAAAATACACAAGAACAACCAGAAGCAGAAGAAAACACACAAGAAACAGATTCTGATATCGAACCCGAAACACAGTCTGATAATGGAGAAGAAATTTAGTCGACCTTAAAATCGACCAGTCAACATTGTTCGACCGGAATAAGGGGTCGATCAAGAAGGAATTATTTTCTACTATTCTTCATATATTCTTTTCATCTCCACATCTTTTGACTTTCTCACTAAAATAATATATGACGTTTTTCATATATGTTCAATAAAATAATTAATAAATTTTTATTTTAAATCTATTCATCATTTTCTTTTATACTAATTTTAAACATCAAAGAAGAGTTCAAAACTAGCATTGAAAAGAAAATATAATGCATCTACATTAAAATGAAAAAAAAAAAATAATACATCTATAACAAAATTAAAAACAAATACACTTCTTTGTCGACTTTCTGGATGCAATATTTAAAATCGACCAGTCAACATTGGTCGACCGGAATAAGGGGTCGATCAAGAAGGAATTATTTTCTACTATTGTTCATATATTCTTTTCATCTCCACATCTTTTGACTTTCTCACTAAAATAATATATGACGTTTTTTATATATGTTCAATAAAATAATTAATAAATTTTTATTTTAAATCTATTCATCATTTTCTTTTTTACTAATTTTAAACATCAAAGAAGAGTTCAAAACTAGCATTGAAAAGAAAATATAATGCATCTACATTAAAATGAAAAAAAACAAATAATACATCTATAACAAAATTAAAAATAAATACACTTCTTTTTCGACTTTCTGGATGCAATATTTAAAATCGACCAGTCAACATTTTGTAAAGGTCGACCTGACCCTTCCAAAACAATCCATTTTGGTTTATGTATTTGAAAACAGGTCTACGATTGAGAAAACATCAATACAATTAAGAAAATATGACTGTAGCGTTTATACTAGAAATGATTGTAATCATACTAAAAATATATACAAAAAAACCACCAAATATAAAAGCGTTAAATAGTTTTAATAATTGGTAAGCCTGGGTAGCATACGATGGCGAGAAGCATAAACAATGATTGTATTTTCTGCAATGAAGGTAAGCACAACCTTATCCCCAAGCCTTAACCCGTTGTCCTCCACAAAATTATGCCATCCTTTGGTGAGCCTGCAACCACTCTCCTTGACAGAGAGGGTGACTTCATTGGGATACATTGCCGGGCCATAAATCTTAATTTTCATTGTGCCATCAGAAATTCCGTTGTTAGCGCAAAAAGACCTTGGCAACTCCTGAAACGAGACATTAAAAAACCTTAAATGATATTTCAATCGATTGGTATGTATTTAAAAAGAAAAAACATTCAAACAAACCAAATATGACTCCTTGGGGATAACATTGTGCGCCTCCAGTTTATGAACAAATGAACTTTCAATATCATCATCATCCTCTCCTGCAAAACAATAAAAAAATGAATCATTCAACAAAATATCTTTCATTTATGACTAAACTCGTGACTTATTCATATACATATATTCTTACCTGAATCATAATCTCGAAACATAATGGGGTAGGTCACCCAATTGTCTTTGCCAAAAACTGTGACCAATAAACAAAACTCCCCAATTTTTTTAAAATGTAGAACAAATTTTGGTTGCACTTGGTGTGCAACGGAAAAATCCTTCCATCCAGATTTGAATCGGTGTTTCCCATCATCACCAATGTAATGTTCGACCGGAACGTATCCAATTCGAGTCAAGAAAAGCACTATCTTCTCGGAGGGGCTCAATACATCAGAGGGAATCACCTGTTCGATGATTTATTTTTTAAAAAACCCTTCTTTATAATATAAAGCAGATACAAATTATGTGATGCGTAGTTCCTAGATCTTACCAGGGTTTCAATGCAATCGGTTGACTCCCGCGGCATGCGGCAAGACCACTCTTGCGAAGAATTCCTTACACGACGCGAGGAAGAAGCCATCTCAACTTGTGTCTTACTTACACGGGTGCACACTGCACAGAAACCAGAAAATATGGTTTTAGAGAGATAGAGTGATAGAGTTATTTTATCCGGCGGTGACCAAAGGTCGTGACCAGTCATCGAGAAGTCAAAGGTCATAACCAGTCATCACGAAGTCACACTAATTGAATATTGAAAAATACCGAGTAATAAATCTTTGTACGCGGGAATAATAATTTCCAAAATTCTTTGAAACTAAAATAACTGAAAAGTAGGGTCTAGAAAAAAACTAAACTAACTATAATAGTCACAAACAGTATTGACACTAGAGCCATTCAATGTCTAAAAAAAGTAGGGTCCACAACTAAACTAAACTAACTGAAATAGTCACAATCAGTATTGACACAACCAGTCATTCAATGACTAAAAAGGTATGGCCCATGACCGAAGGAGACGTGTCCGCAACTAAACTTATCGCAATAGCCACAATCAGTCAAACACCCAAGCCTCTCGATGACAACTGACTACCCCATGACCGAAGAAGATGTGTCCGCAACTAAACTAACCACAATACCCACAACCGGTCAGACACCCGAGCCACTAGATGACCTCTGACTACCCATGACCGAATAAGAGGTGTCCGCAACTAAACTAACCGCAATAGCCACAACCAGTCAGACACCCGA